TCATGCAGATCATGTGAATCAGATTACCCCAAGCTGTAGATAATTTACATATGTCACAAGTGGAATCTAAATGTGAACATGTTTTGCTTAGTCTGGCTTTTGTTAAATGAGCACAGTGGACAAATGTAAATTCCGTGAGTCCATGTCTGCTACAAGGAGTGAAGTCATGTACTTGTTCATGGATTGCTTTCCAAGTCTCATTTCTAAGTGGATGGCCCGAATCCTGTTTCCAATGCTAAACAGCACATAAAAGTTTGTAAATCCTAGGGATCATATGCATAGTTTCTGTATTATATGAGTGTCAGAAACTAAGATGTCTTATTGTGAAATGACCTTTGGTATTATGTTAGCCCCAAGATCATATGAAAAAACTGTTTTGTATGTTTTAATGATTAATCTAATCACTAATGTTTAAACTGAACAGTGGGCCACCCTGCCTGACAAAGCTGCTGACCTTTATTAGTCGGATTTTTTTTTTTTTTTTGCCCTGTAATTGTCTTGTCGTATGATAAAAGACAGAGGGAGCCTTCAGCTTTATATACCTTCTTAATTCTTACAGGAAGTGATAATGACAGATACTGATTGCATGACTCAGTTTCAGATAAAGATTTATATCATATCAATCATCATCATTTATGCTGATATACTTTAAACTCAAAGAATGACTTGAACTCGTCATTTTTCATGTCAGTTAATCATTCCCAGCAAGCACAACACAAAGGAGTTTTCCACTCATTACACAGTGTATCCACGGCCGTAATATGTGTGAGATCTGATTACGTAAGCGTGGGTATTGCCAGTAGCTCATGTTCGGCTGTGATGATAAAGAGTGTGTTGTGAAACTTGCAAGTCATAATGAGCCGAGGGTGACTTTTGACTTCTCATTGATTACACTCCATAGTGTCAGCGAAGGCTTCAGTTTCCTTCTGACAACTTTTCCAGGACTCTTGAACTACATTCTGAACTACAGCGTCCACAAAGCTGTCAAATCAAAGACAAAGCTGCCCGGTCTTTCAGATGAGGGTTACATCGGTGTAAATTTTAAACACAACGACAAAGGTCTTTCAAAGGTCAGAGGTTTCTACAGACGGATAATATCAGCCATGATAAAAGAGAAGCAAAGAGATTTAAGTTACACAGTAGAGGAAGAGGCCAGACTGAAGTCCATTGTGGTATGACTGTGCTCTCTTCCCAACATTAGCTGTTTCAAATGTCACTTCCTTATTCGAGGGTGGTTGAGTAAAAAAAAAAAAAAAAAGAAATCATTTTTGCAACAGTTGCAGTTTTGTTGTTGCAAGATTTTCTCTGAAATAAATTGAAAAACTACTGACCTGGGCCACAAGGCAATGAAACTGAAAATGTTTTCACACTCTTGTTGAAATACATTTTGAACAAATGTTTTTGCTCTATTCTCGACTATTTACAGAACTATACATCCACAAAAAGATTTTGCTATATTTGGATGCTCAGAGGATGTTTTGTCGGTAAAAAAGATTTGCATTACTACAAACAGTTGAAACTGATTGCAAACACTCACAAATTGAAAGTTGGAAAATGCCCACAGAAACTGCAAAATGACTACAAAGAGACACAATATGACTACAAAGAGTTGTAGAATGACTAAAAGGTTGAGAAAAGACCAAGAAGTTGCCAAACGACCACAGTCACACAATGACTACATCAGTTGCAAAATGACTACAGAGTCACAAAATGACTACAAAGAGTTGCAAAATAATTAGGAAGTCACAAAATGACACAGAGTCACAAAATGACTACAAAGTCACAAATGGACTAGAGTCGCAAAATGATCTGAAAGAGTCCCAAAATGTCACAAAGAGTCTGCAAAGAGTCACAGAATGATTACAAAGAGTCACAAAATGACTCCGAAGATTGACAAAATGATTACAGAGTCACAAAATGACTACAAAGATTGACAAAATGATTACAAATAGTTAAAAAATGCTAACAGTCGCAAAATGACTACATAGTCACAAAAAGACTACATAGTCACAAAAAGACTACAAAGAGTCGCAAAATGATAACAGTTAAAAAATTATAACAAAGACTCACGAAATGACTACACAGAGACAGAAAAAGACGACAGAGACACAAACTGACTACAAACAGACACAATATGACTAGAGACACAATATGACTACAAAGAGTTGTAGAATGACTAAAAGGTTGAGAAAAGACCAAAAAGTTGCCAAATGACCACAGTCACACAATGACTACATCAGTTGCAAAATGACTACAGAGTCACAAAATGACTACAAAGAGTCACAAAATGATTAGAAAGAGTCACAAAATGACACAGAGTCACAAAATGACTACAAAGAGTCACAAAATGTCACAAAGAGTCACAAAATGACTACAAAGTCGCAAACTGACTACAAAGAGTCGCAAAATGATTACAGAGGGTCACAAAATGACTCAGAAGATTGACAAAATGATTACAGAGTCACAAAATGACTACAAAGATTGATGATTACAAATAGTTAAAAAATGATAACAGTCGCAAAATGACTACAAAGAGTCGCAAAATGACTACATAGTCACAAAATGACTACAAAGAATTGCAAAATTACTACAAAGAGTCACAAAATGATTACAAATAGTTAAAAAATGAAAACAAAAACTCACAAAATGACTACATAGAGTCGCAAAATGACTACAAATGCACAAAAATGTAAATAATTACAAGAGACACACAACTACAAACAAGATTAAACTGTTCTACTTTTTTACTCAGTGTAACCCCTAGACTTTTATGTAGCTCCTTCTCCTCCTTTGTAAATATATGTGTTTGTTCATTTGACTGTACACTGGCGATAAAAACAAATGAAAAAAAAAACACTGATGTATTTTATCAAAATGCCCAATATTGGAAATGTACTTTTACATTTTGTTCTTCTTAGTAACACCAGAGAGGACAGAAGTACTGCTCTACACAATTAGTTTTGCTGTATTAAGGGGAGCCCAGTACAAGAGAATGGTGGTGTGTATATAAAAGTCACCTGGGCTAACAGGTAGCTGTTAATTGGGCAGTTGAATAAATTCAGTGCTCCTCAGTACAGGCTGAGGCACGTTTACTGCACAAATATGTGTTTCAACAAGATAAGCATTGTCCTAATAATTTGGCAGACTGAGATACTGGTGGTCTAATACTTCACCCCTTTCTCATTCCTTTGGTTGTATGAAGACATAAATAAAGTGTACATAAAGTGATTTGGCCAAGCATTACACAGGTAGCTGGAGCTCAGGTGCCTCTGAGCTTTGAACCCCTCAGCACAGCCTCACCAACAGGCCTCTGTTTTATGTGCTACTGGAATAACAAACACCAGCGAATCAATTAGCTCCCATCACTGACAGATTGTCCTCAATCAAATGGGTAGCAGCCAAATAAAACCCATCAAAGCCTAGGTTGTCATGGCAGCTTGTGCAGGTGACAGCGTTTTCAGATGTGAGCCAGTGAAGCCAACAAAGGCTTCACACCAGCCCAGATGCTATTGATGAAGACCGCCACTTGTGGAGGCTGAATAGTCCCACAGACACACAGACACCCAGAGGAAATGATGCTATTATTTCTCCACAGCTCTCTGATGTAGATGACATAAATAGGCTGCCGATTTTGATCCACTGCATCTGTGTATGAGCAGCACTCAAAACATCCAACCACCTCATGTCTTTGTTATTTAAGCTGTGTTGCAGAGTGAGACGTGAGTGACACAAGAGCCCCTGGACCCATGAACTCCAAAATGTTTCACATGAACTAATATAAAATAATGTAATAATGGACCAATCGTTTATGAAATAATGGGAGAAATTATTAAGATTCAACAGATTATTTTGACGTTATTTTATCATAGTAATATTTATTTCATTATTGAAATGTTACAAATGTTAAAGTGGTCTGCTTTAATTTCATGATGGAACATTTCCCAAGGGCACCTTCATTCTGTTACGTTATTTTATAATAAGCAGATGCTAATGTGCAAGTGATTGAATAAAAGGTGAGAGGCAGTGACATCACTGACATGAAACATTAAAGATTAAAAAAGGTAAAATGTGACTGTAAAATTAATAAACAAAGATCCAAAATTGCTAAATCATCCCTGTTTAAACTTTTTTTGATAGATTTTTTTTAATAATAAGTCTCATTATGACCAGTTATTTGATAATATGCCATAAATATAAATGCCATCTTTTTTTCCCTTTCGGTCAATTTCAGTTTGTCACTTGTTTTTCTATTGTTGTTTTTTTTTTTTTGACAATTTTTGCTCTCTGATGACCACCTTTTTATTTTTCAGTTTTCAATAAGGTGTAATTAAAAAAAAAATATGACAATAGTAAATTCAGTTTAACTAATCTCTTAAGTAATTTATCTATATAACTAATTTATATATTTCCCTCAGTGCAGTCATTAAAATTTCATACACTTTGTAACACCCTACTTATTTAGCATTGATCACTTTCATCCTGGGCTCTACATGGCACAACATAGTCTAAATCTTTGTAATATTAACACATATTATAAACTCGATTACCACAAATAAGAAGTAGCTTAAAGAGTCTTAACCAATGTAAAAATTTACAGCAATCACCTATAAAAGTATTATTTTTGTGCTGTTAAGGGGATGCATGTAAAGTCTTTATTGGTTGTTGTAAATGTGCTAAATTACAGTGGTCCAGTTAGTGTAATCACACTCACTTAGCAACAGGTTTCATTATATACACACTAGATAACCTTAATAGCAAAATGTAATATGTATGACTGTTTGTATGACTTCTTAAATAACAAGGACCCTCCTGTTGCCCTGCAGCACCAGAGCCAGATCACATATTATTCTGGTCCTCCCTGTTTTCCAGTTTAGGACTGCCAATAAGAAAATACCAGAGTAACGTCATCAGCTTTTGTTCAAGAATGTGACAAGCAGGTCGCTAAGGAAAAACATTTTTGGGGAGGTTATTTTTCCACAAGTAAAAAATTCAGACAAAACTGGAGGTGAATTCATCCTTTATTAAATCTTGAGAGAAGAAATCTACAGTGGTTTGACACCAATGAACAAGTCATTTATACAGATGACCAATGTCACTCACTGACAGCAGTCAGAACACTGTCCTCTAGAAGATTGAATATATCTTGTACATACACATAAAGCAGAGTCAAACAGCAAGATGCAACAAACAAGCATTAAATTAATTTAGTATAAACTTGTGAAAATGTTTTTTTTTTCCTTAAACACAATTTTCAGTACAATCCATAATGTATTTTCCATTGAATTTGTCTGACAGTGTTTTGTTGCAGCACATTGAGGTTTGAAAGGTGTAGGTTTGCCGGCTCTTGATCTCTGTGAAGACTTGTTTCGATAAACACTTTGGTAGAGATAAAGGGAGTTCTCTTTAAGGCAGAAACCCCTCCACACAGCAAAGACAGGTATTGATAGCTACATGTATCACCCTCAGATTCAGCCTAAAGACATGTTAAGAGGAATATGTGTGGAATGATGAAAGCTCAACAGAAGAGACGTTGACAACATATTTTCTATACACACTCAGACAGACCTGATTAAATATTAAGTTTCCATCACAAGCTGGACCAAATTCAGAGCCGTGCATCCGTTCAAACCCTGGTTGTGTGCCAATTTAAATCTGTCTCACTAAAGTCAATTTCCATCTGTATGCCATCTGTGTACTGAGGCTGAATGAGAAGTGTTTGAAGTTGGGGGTTGGACGAAGGGTTTGGGCCACCATCAGGTGCTTCTGCAGAGATACATCGATCCTCACCCACCTAGTAATTCAGGTTACGGGCCAGGACGTCACAAACAGCCCAAACACACACACATACTCAGCGGCAGTGTGTGTGATGGTGCTCCTCTGAGAAAGACACACTGTTGGAGTCCAGTAGAAACATCAGCAGAGTAACCCCGCTGTTCAGCAGGCTGCCCTCATATCAAACGACCTCAGCCAGAGCTGGAGATTTACACATCCTCAGCTCTGACTTCTTTCAGTCACCTCTGAGCTCTCAGCGAGCCTAAATGAGTGCTTTCACTCATCCAGACGCTGGCCGTGGTGTTAGGTTTGTCCTGAGAAACTACTGCCCTGTAAACTGAGCAGTTGGAGGTGAAGCTGAGCTTAGAGGTTGAACTGAGATGAGAGGGGTTGGTAAGAGAGTCTAATATGAGAGCAGCCCGCTAAACTAGCAGGGTTTAACCTCAGCAGCCGGCCTGGCTGATGTCTCCACCAGAGCTCTTGGTCACCTCCAAAGTGGTGAAGACCTAAAAGGATAAGGAGAAACACACATGTCAGGGGGCACAGCTTTAACCACAAGTTTCAGAACACCCAATGGACATCTTTTGAACTAACTGGACTTAAACAACTGTAAAGTACAAAACTCACTATTCCAAGAAAGAGGTTTCTAAGTGAACATTGTGGTTTGATGTTTTGCTCCACAAAAAGGACTTTCAACATGGACACAGGCACAACATGGTTAAATTAACAGTGTCCAAAATAAAGATACGTGTGCCGAACTTGGTACTAAAAATGGAAGTGCCAGTAATGTAAAACATGAAACAAGGCAATTGAGCAGCTTAATTTGCTGCAATTATCACCCTGCTACATTAACATAATGAATGTGAAATGCTGAGATCTTTAATTAAGCTAATTCATGCACAGCGTGCAGCACAGTGGACACACAGAATAGAAATTTAAATACTCGTTTAACCTACAATCTGCAGAAAACTAACTATGATTAAAAAGGCTCTTCTACTACATGATAAAAAGAATGTGAGGCCTCTAAAAACAGACATGTTAATACTTTAAGCCTCTGCCTGTGGCTGCCCTGTTTTATGTATCCTGATTAAATCTGTGTCAGGCACAACAAGATCATTCACACAGATTTAGAGTGAAAAGCTAGCTGAGTGAGGGAGCAGGAAAAATTTCAGCAGGAAGCAAATGTTCATGACCTTGACAAAGCTAATCAAAGTGCAAAGTGATTTTTTTGTTTTGTTTTCACCACATATATGCAAATTCAGATCTTTCAAATCAACCTGCCATGTACAGGCAGGACATCTACATACAGTACATACACCGCCTCTTGTTTAATTTCAGCATGTTTGTCGAGCAAAAAGCCTTTTGCACTGTGACATTTTGTCATTTCCTGCTCATTCTCACTGGTTAGTCAACACAATGTTATTGCAATATGCTGTGAAAAACAGCAGTGTTTTGTTATGCTGTGAAATGTTTTGTAAAGTACTGGAGCCAGTTTCACAAAAATATTTCACATGGATCTCAAGGCCAGGCTTCCTTTTGCTCTTCAATTGGTTTCATACAGGTTAGACAGTTCTGACACTTTTTTAGATTTTAGCTTGATACTACAAAACAGAAAAAAGACTAATGTCAAACTGAAAACTAAATCCAGACTCCAATGAAGTTCATAAAAAAGGCACAGATAGTTTCACAGAAATAAAGACTGACTTAAGCCTAAACTTAGCCACACTACCCACAGTCCAACTCTAAACTAAGACACGTTTACATGGCAACGGTCAGTGAGTGTGTTACGCACGCATTAGTTCTCTGGTTTTGAGCCTCACCCTGACTTCAACTGTATTTGGGATGTGATGTTTATATGAAACATGAGGAATCAGAGGAAAATATAGCTCATAGTGGTTTTCTAACAATGTTTTTGGGCGAGTAATGAGAGGGGATAGAGTTTCTAGAGCGCGCAGTAATCTGTTGGACATGAACAGAATAAACAGCCATTATTCATTTGCTAAAAACTATCCTGAATCTGAATGAGGAGCAAGAGGAGGTACTGAGCCCTGCTACATTACCAAGCCACATCATCTCAGCTCTGCTACTGCACTGTCTGCACTACTGCAATTTTTTTTGTATTCTTTAGAAAGTTTGCTGGATTTTCACAGTAACATGTCCTTGTAACTGTTAGTTTTTTTCAAGAGGGCAAACATAGTCTGATAGAGTAACAAAAAACGTCACAGTTTTCAGAAATTTTTTGGTATTTAAGATAACGACTACTTCTCCACTTAAGAGCTCTTTCAAATTGATCTGTTCAAAAGTCAGTCCAAATCAGAACACACACCACTGAGGTAATGAAGGTACAAAAAAACAAACAAACAAACAAAAAAAAAACAACCCACCAACAACAACAAATAAATAAAATTAAAGTTTGGCAAATAATTGCAGAGTTGACTTCTTACCTCAGCGCAGGTGGGGTGGATGCCGATGGTGCCGTCAAGCTGCTCCTTAGTAACACCACATTTCATGGCTGCGCCGAAGCCCTGCGTCACCTCTCCAGCATTTGGACCCAGATAGTGGAATCCAATGACTCGATCCTACAGCGTGACAGAGTTACAGCAATATGATCATTCACGTGACACAACAAGAGGGACAAGTTCCTGGTTGCTACAGGCTCAGACTTGACATGATACTGCATGTAAAAGTAGTAACGATCGTACGTTATCCAGTTTATTGCAGATGATCTTAGCGTAGCATCTGTTGTTGTCTCTGCCGGGCACAGTGAACTCCAGAGGCCAGAACAGACTGTGGAACACCTGAATACAGAAACACAGTGATGGCCACTTACAGTGTCAACAGTTAAACCACATTAATATAAGCAATTAATAACATCAGCTCAACATTCAGTCACATTAATTATACTTAGATAGGCATTTTTTTTGTGTGTTCGAACCTTAAACATTAAAAATAAGGATGTTCTGTTGTTGAACTAAATCTGCAGTCAGTCCTCTGGCTGCACAGAGACTGAGGGCTGCATGTTACTGTAAAATATGTAATTATACACTACATTCTTTCTAGCTGGTATTCTGACCAATCTACATGCACAAACACGTCCATGTAACAGGCACATTAAGGCTGCAAGCATCATCTTGCAGGAAACCATAGAAAAACTAATCTAACTGGATGAGTTCTTTAACTGGTCAAATGCAGCCACACACACCTCAGCCTATGTGAGAGCATAAACATTTACCAACATGCCTGATTGAGTCAGATATGTATAGACTTTAGAGACAAGTGAGGGGTTTCCAATTAAGGGGAAAGATTGAAAAAATGTTTGCAGCTGAATCTATTCATGTAAACTGCACTGATTTTGAGAGGCTATATTATAAAGTAGAGCTCTGGTCTTAGAGATGCACTTAACACCAGCCTCTCAGAAGGTTCACACTCAGGTGACCCAGATAGATAAATTATTCAGATGACTGTGTGTGTGTTACCTCGAGGTTTTCGTCCCCGTAGAGCTCAGTGGCTTTCTCCTCTGACAGACCGCAGGAGCCATACTCCAGTGGGGTAAAGACAGTGGTGGGAACGTTGATGTAGTCACACTGCACAAACATGCACAATTAATTACTGTTTGTCGGGGGAAATTAAGTCTTGTGTTGGCACATGTCGCATAATATTCCAGTGATAACTGAAGGGTGGTGCATTTTACGGAAGGTTCCAGAGCATTTTAATAACCTACAGTAAATACAGCAGATCAGGTTTTCACGGAAGATTCAGAGAGATACACCTGAGATCAAAAAAGGTATCAATGTCAAACTAAAAACTAATTCTTCTAATTCTATAATCCAAATTAAATACTAATAAAAAAAGGCAAAAAAACTGTAAAAGATTCACCTCTTTTACTGCAGCACACCTAAATCATCACTTATGTTTCTGAATGTGACAAAAACAGTTCATTGGGGATCATCTGTGTGACAAGTGGGGCTGGGGTTTTCTATGTACTTCACTGTTAAATTTCTCTTCAGGATACAACAAATCAATCACACAATTCTATTTTTATTCTATTTGCATATACCTCTTATCACTTATTTTTACTTCCCCTTTATCTGGACTTTTTTTTCTATCTTTGTGCTGCTGCAACACCTGACTTCCCCTTTGTTATTGTTATAGACTGTGTGTTTTGGTGTTTATATGAGTTATTATTGTGGTGGTAGGTCTAAGTGTCTCCTAGTGCCAATGTACCTTGACTGTTGAGCCCCCATAGAGGCGTCGTGCCAGCAGCTTGCCAGCCTGGATGGCTACAGGTGTCAGCTCCCACTTGCCTTCTAGGATGTCTCCGACGGCGTAGATGTGGGGCACGCTGGTCTGCTCCTCATCGTTCACTGGAATTTTTCCGTTCCTGGAGGACGTAGAGAGATGTCAGTGAGGAAGAACAAACCATACTTTATTTATATTTTATGCCTTTTTTGTACCAAAGAATTACATTTATTTTGGCTGACAAAACAGTCCTAGAGAGCAGATTGTGATTAACAATCTTTACTCAGTGTTAGTATTAGGCATGTCCCGATCCGATCACGTGATCGGAAATCGGGGCCGATCACGTGGTTTCAGACACGATCGGAATAGAAAGTTACAAACCGATCAGAGATCGGATATAGGCCTATGACATATCAGATACATGTCAGGGTTTTCACTATTTGTCTAAAGCAAGACGGGCCGCATGGGGGGCGTTCAGATGTAGCTCTTTTGCACTCTCAAACCCATTACTTTTACTGTAGACGTGCGTCATGTGCGCTCATAACCCAAAGCGACGCCAGCGGCGCGCCTTCGGTGCAACGCGCTTGGCAGGTGAGGGAGGGATAAAGGGAAAGAGGCTGGTGATTGAGAAAGGCATGATAAGCTATTTTATTTTTGACCAAATGTACTTATTGTTGACTAATGGATAATGGAATTAATATTATACCGTGGAGCTACTGTACTATTATCATAAAGTGAGGTTTTGATATCATGACATGTCTTACAATACTGCAATAAATGTCATGGGCTTGTTATTGGGGTACAGTATTGTAATATTGTGAGATTGTGATATTGTTACATCCCTAGTAGAGCACAAAGAACAGAAAAATAGTGGGATGATACAGTTAATCTACAGTAAAAAATTTTACTGCATTGCCAAAGTATCGGATCGGGACTCGGTATCGGCAGATACTCAAAATCAAATGACTCAGACTCGGACTCGGGGGCAAAAAAATGTGATCGGGACATCCCTAGTTAGTATTTATTCCTACTTATTTGACATGTTGTAGGTAAACTGGATATTTGGGCAAAGGATCAACATAACAGCTGTGTATCCATCACAAGGCAGAAATCAATTCAAGTGCCCCTCCGGTCATGTGGGGCAGGATGGAGAAACATAACTGTAGTATTATATAAGCCATATATTTACACTGTACAGCAGCAGAACAAGCAAACCTGCTGATGGCCCCTGAACCCAGTGAGTCCTCTGGCTGTGTGTCAGCTGCATCAGAATACTATAAAGGTCATAAGACTGGGTACATGTGACCCACTGAGTGCTCTTTTAAGCTGGCCTCATGCTGTCTTAATCCCTGCTGACCTCCTAGGCTGAACCGTTCAGTCATTCACAAAACAGAGGCGAGACAGCATCCTCAAAGAAAAGGCCACTTTTTCAATGTTTCTAATGTTGGAATAAATCATCAACTGCAAACATACAACTTTATAAGACAACTTTAACGCTGCTTTTCTAATTAAGGCATACTAAAAAGAACAATAGAAAATGCATGATGCAAACCATCAACCCAAACTGAGCCTAATTATATAATCTGATAATATAAAAGCAGACAATGTATCAAATGACACCAGCATGAAACGCTCTTAGATTTAGATAATTCATTTTATGGCATTACAAAGCAGCTGATACTCTGTACAGGACACCCCTCCTCTTTCCGTACCAAATCCCTCAACGCGCTCACACACTACCCCTGCAGAGAGCCGTGGGATGACAATAACTGCTGAATCACCATGACTGTACCACGAGTCTTAAAGGCACAGGCCACCCCCTGTAAAGGGATGGTCATACCAGTATGTAGTGAAAAAAATATATACAATGAGATAATAAACTTACTTGGGGTTGACTTTGACCCCAGTTTTGTCTAGGCCAAGCTTGTCTGTGCATGCGTCTCGGCCCACTGCTATCAACACCTGCAGAACAAAGAAACGGCTTGTAGTTTAAAGGAAGTCCTCGAGTCATTCCTGCAAGGAAGTTGCTGGTATTTTATTTACACAAGAATGGCTGAACAGGAGGCTTGAGACAAAACACAAGAGGTAAAAACTAAAGAAAAGAAAAAGGTATTGCAACATATTAATGTCTTACTTGGAATATTTCCACTCTTGGATCATTTTCCACTGTCTGATATCAACACTGTGTCACAGCTTAACATCAGAACAACATGGTAGCTCTCTTGCTTCTTGAGACTGGCACTAAAACCTGATTGTTAGCTTTGGTTTTTAACATAAAAATGGCAAAGAACAAATTACATCAAAATCAGAAATTCACTGATCATGTAGAAAAAGCCTTCTCATCTTTCAGCCAGTCACATATCCCCTGCCTCTTGAGAAAGCAAGCTCCACCTGCTGCCACATTTAGTCAGTTAGCATGTTAGCTGGAGCAACAATGTCAAAGTATTTCTGAATCAACTATCTAACTGCTACTGTAAATAAACACAGAGACACAGAAACTAATGACTCCTTTTGTTGTGTTTGGTTTAACAAGGCTGTCTGTTCTACCTACCTGACTAGTTAGGCAGGGTTGTGAACGTTTATTATTACTCAATGTCACAGTAAAGAAACTGTTAAAGGCAGCAGCTAGCTTTTTTCTCAAGATGTTCCTCAGAGAAAGACACACACAACTCTGCAGATTAAAACTACAGGTAGCTAACATTAACTCTTCACTCTGATACGGAGTGATAATTCAAGATCACAAACCAGCCTGGCTAGATAGTCAGCTAGGTTGGTAGCATTCGTAGGCTTCTAACGCTAAAAGCTAAAGAGGTTAACTTTATCTGTGCTTATTTACAACAACAGCCCAGATGTTGAGTCAAAATAACTTTACCATTATTGTTGCTCTACCTGACAGGAGCCAGCTGGCTAATTTTAGTAGCTTACTATTTTAAGAGGCACAACTTTTTCTCCCTCAAGAATGTTTCTCCTTATCCCGCCCTACTGTGCAGTGATTGGCTAGTACTCGTTACATTGACACGTCAAGGTCAGAGGTGGTTAGGGTTAGGGCAAAGAGGTCAGGGTGAGGTTAAGTAAGAGTCAACCACAGCTCAGTAGGGCCTGACTGTATAAAACTCTTGGGGATAAAAATAACGTGTTTAAAAGAGGGGGGGAGTGATGACAACACCATGGTCATAAAAATGACATGAAATAAAAAGTGTTATTATGAAATTAAATGTGACATGAAGTAAAACAAAAAAATATGAAACAAAAACTGACTTTTGAAAATTGATATTTTGAATTTAAATGTTCACAATGAAATAAAAAAATATGTCCAATAAAATCCAGCTATTATAAAAATGAGTGTTACAACATTTTCATAATAAATTCTTCAATTATTTTACAATTTGTTGGTCCATTTATATGTTTTACAAAATTCATTTGAATAATTAATTATTTAAAAATGTCTTTTTTATTTATTTCATATTGAACACCCAATTTACCCAAAAAACATCACGAATAACTTCCAAAGTATTCTACAACAATAAAATCAATAACAGATAGGAACGGATAGATCAGTACATACAGTGTTGTACTCGCCCTCGATGATCTCATCGGTTTCAGTGGACTTGGCCGTCACCTTCAGCCTGCCTGGAGTGCCCGCTTCCAGCTCCTCTATCTGACACACACAGATGCAGGAAGGTCAGAGGGGAAAGGGTCTTTATGCTTATGTCAAATGCCAAGATGGGAGATAAACTTATGATGCAAGAGGGTTCGACAATAAATCTGATACTGTACAATTCAAGGTTCAAAGTCTGCTGACTGCCAGTTGCCTTTGCTACAAACCGAGGCTTCCTTAATTAAGATTAAATTATTAAATAAATCTTTCTTTAAATTGGAAAATTAAAAAATGGACTTGATGCACAAGCTATAATCTTTTATGGGTTATACACATTTCACCTGCAGCTGGCCATATTTACACAATCATGCGCCATGCTTCTGTGTGTGTGAATGAAAGTGCTGAATCAATTAAAACACTATCCATCACTCTAGTTAATACTCACCTTAGTAGGGACATATTTGCGGAGGAACTTGACACCATGCTCCTCCATGTGCTCTCCGGCACGGTTGGCCATGTCCTGGTCAAAGCCCCTCAGCAGGATGGACCGGACCATGATGGTCACATCAAGACCCAGGCCGGCCAGGAAACCACCGCACTCCAGAGCCACGTATGATGCTCCGATCACCAGGGTCTTTCCCGGGCAGTAAGGCAACGAGAAGAGGTCATCACTGGTGGAAAAAAAACCACAGACGGACACAGAGGATATCAAACAGAATGGGTGTAAAACATAAAGCTGCAGTGCTATACAGCTAACCATAACCTTTCAAATGTCTCAATGCATTTTCAAAGTACAACACATGCTGCTGTTGTCTGAAAACTAATTTTGTCCACACCTTCCTGCCATAGCATCTCCACAGTGACACTCCTCTCTCCACACTTAAAGACCAACTCTGCCAACAATGACCATGCCTAACTATACGCAACACCATAGGACACCTTACAAAATACTGTCAATACAGAAGCATCCAGGATAAGGTTATATCTTATGTCAAACAACCTCTGGTTTGAAGCTTTGTGGGCCTAGGTGGGCAGCCATTTGTAAGTTTCCAAAAACAACAGCATAATCACCAAACACACTTGAGGATAATCTTACAAAACAATTCCGACAGCTGGGAGATTAATGGGTGCCCTGAGGCAAAGCCACCTGCAGAGGATACAAGCGTCCAGATCATTAAAGGGTGTGTTTGTGCTTTCAGACATCACACACTGGGGCAAGAGACACTTGCGCAGACACATGCTGCACCCACCTACTGGTCTTAAAATGAGCTTTGGGTGGGGTTTTCCAGTAACACAGCCTGTCATTAGATAGGGCTGGTGGTGTTAGAGCCACCATGTGACTGGCATTGTGTTCTTACCTGGTGATACAGTACTCCTTGTCTCCGGGGATGCCCAGGTAGCGTGGCCTCTCGCCTGTGGCTAAGACAAATGTAGCCCCTGTGTAAAATGTCTCCTTTCCTCGTTTGTTTGTTGCCTGTCAGAAAATACAAACAGAAGCTCTGAGACAGTGTTGGAGCAAGGAATACAGAGCGATAATCTAAAAGATTTAAAAATTAAAAAAAGATTAGAAAAGCAAGCAACAACAAGGACAGCCAAAAATGAATGTTAAATGTTCAGCAAAGCCTGTTCCAGAGAAAGAAAACTAAAAAATAGGGTGCCTCCACAGGCTGGACAACATTTCAAAGCAGACAGCTTATCAAGATTAGTGTAGAGTTTTGGGATAGCAACTTGGGCAGTAGGGAAAAATCTGCTTATAGTAGTTATAGAAATTGCTGTTTGTCAAGTCTCATTAAACTAGAACCAACTAGAAATCCCAGTTAAGCGTCTGCACTAGTACAGTCAAGGTTTCTTTATGTCACAAGTACTCAGTTACCTTGATTTTGTGTGGTTCAAGGAACTCTGCATACGCATTGACGTAGTTGACATTCTTGTCTCTCAGTGCAACCCTGTAGCCCCAGTTCAGTGAGCCAATGTAGTCGTTCACCCCCGTCTTCATCGTCTCCCAGTTGTGCTTGACTGAGTACAGACAGACAGACGGACGCCCATCAGTAGAATCAATGGAATGCCAACAAGACACTGTTGACTAAGCTTGCTTCTGATTTACCGCGCCAAACTGGTGTGATGTCCCCCCTTAGTGACCTCCTGGGTCGCTGCTCTGAGCCCTCACCTGTCTCATCGAACTCCCAGCCGAACTTGCGTGCATCCTGCATGGCGGTGCCTAGCATGGCCGTCTGGTGCATCAGCTTCTTGGGAATACAGCCCACGTTCACACAAGTTCCACCGAGACCTGATCACCACAGAACAACACAATAACACGTGGAAATAGCCAGTTACAGACCATATTAGATTTGAATGTATTAAGCATCACTTGTAGCTAACAAGGTAATGTGGAAGTGGAAGTATCTTACCCCAGGTTGTTCCCTTTGGTGTAGGCACAACATAGTCCAGTACCATGACCTTCTTCCCCAATATAGCAGCTTCCTGTTGCCAACAGAGCCAATGTTACTGCAACATTACTTAAATCTGTAATTTACTAATAAGTTTCTGCAGTCTGTATGCAAGCTTAGGTAACACTGTGAATGTGTGTGTAATTGTGTCACCTTTGAACAGGCCAGGCCTCCAGATCCTCCTCCGATGACAATCAGGTCATAGTCGTAAGATTCATTTTCTCCGCTCAGTAGCTGCTGCAGGCTGCCGTCTTTATGAGCCTGACAGAAGCATTAACACAATTTTGCATCAATACAGCACCTGTAGGTCAATCCTGTAGTGACAATACGCACAACTCATTTCAAATATAGCTAGAATGACTAAAAACAATCAAATATTCATCAGAGCTTCCTCACAACAGCTGTTATTATTCACACGTGCCCCAGCACGAGCATTGCTATCTAAATACGAAGCCATTATTTGCTGTGGCAAGGCTTTTTCTTAGCCATGTCCTGTTAACGTGGGCCTCGATTTAGCTGACGTACTATCCAGCCATTGTGACATCATATGCAACACTGCATTAGCCAGCAGACACTTTGAAATGAGTCAAGAATGTCTACAGAAAACTTGATGATACTATGTACCCTGTAACCTAACCAGACTTACGCTTTATTTCAATTACGCACATAAAACAGTACATGCCACAAATGCTAACTTGAATCAATGGCTCAATGCCATCTCATCTCATGTACCCTCTGCTATGTCGCTCTCCTGTAATTTAACAATACTGTTGTATTAACCAATATTAGCATCACTTTCCCATTGTTGTCTGCCCCACAACTACACTGCACTCGGCACTCTTGCTTACCTAGCGGACCTGACAGAGTGAGGGTTTTATCTGGATATAGAAATATATGCGTCTGATTTTGTTTCATAGATATAGGGGTGGGCTGGGCTATGGGACGCAATTAAGACATGATGTTCAGACTTTTTCTGGGATGAATTTTAGTAACTGGACCTATCTGAATTTTATTTCAATACCCCTGACTATAAGGGTTCTTACAAGTTCAGTGTGCGAGAAGCTCCAGGTTATGGGTTGTTACGTGGAAAGAGCCTATAGCATGCACGCCATGGCTGACTGGCATGACTCCTTGTTGAGTGTTTAGGTTAAACGCGTTTCATTCCTGTTTTATCTGCTGTGACAAAGATCTACTCAGAACTCTTCTGTGTTGAGTGGGGAGGGAATATGGGATATTTTTATGCAAATAAATCCTACTGGGTTAAACTTCAACTTGGTCCAAACAGGCTCGTTTATACACAGTAAAAAGGCATCTGAATGAGCCACTCAATTGAGTACAATTTCATGGCAATTATGTATTAAGAAGATATGCAAGATTTGCAGCGATGTAGAACACAAGGATTTTGTGCATCAAAGAAGAAAATCTCTTTAAGACAGTCAGATAGATTCAAACATTTGCTCCTCACCTGCATTGTTTTGTCACAGCCGCCGACATGCGTCTTGTTGATGAAGACATTCGGAACACTTCTCTGTCCGGTCATCTCGAGCAGCATCTCCTGGTAGTTGGTTCCATCCTCTGGACAGATGGGTTAATGTTGTTTAAGTGCAAGTTAATAGGGTGGTTGAATTCTAACAATTACTTCAATTCATCTTCTTTTCAGTGGGTATCAGTTGTACTTCTTCCCCATTAAGCATCCATTTAGATTCTCTGCCTAAAGCACCACCATACTGATTGATACACAAATAACGTGCAAATAAAAGGGGGAGCATGACATGGCATGAAATGTTTCTTCCACTGAGTTCATCATTTTGTGTATCAGCAAACCTCCAAATCTCTCTGTGCTTACATGATGGCCACTTACTACATGTACAATATATCAGTATTTCCACTTATTAGACCTGGAAGTCAACTGGATCTTTGCTTGCTAAGAGGCTGGTTAAAATCCTGCACTCCCCTACCAGTGGAAATACTCGTTTGTGCCTCAGCAGCAATTTATGGCTTTGTCTTACAGAATCTGACTGTGGTTAAGTCAAATATCCTCTTGCGGGCAAATTTTGCCACAGCAGTTATTCCCCAAAATTTTAGTATTGTCCATCTAGCTGAAATTTGTGGGCCTAAGTGCTTACACACTAAGTAATTTCCTTAAATGGAGTTCTCTTGGTTTATATATATATTCTATTTGATCATATTCTTTATGGTGATTAAGTTCGTAAAGCATCAGCATCCTTACTTCCTTCAGCATATAAGCAAGACTGTAATTGCAAGACAGAGCAGGTTAGAGTTACAGAGATATGGCTCGGGGCCAAGGTATCTTCAGTGAGTGACTCAGCATGTTTTGTGCTGCTGCACAGGAAGACAACATCCACGCTATATAATGGGGGACACTTTGCAGCTGTGTGGATTCAAACGCAACCATGACAAAGCATTTTAAATTTAAGCAAGGTGATAACGCTTCACTTTAACCCCTCCACCCCGCTGCTTAGCATCAATAAGCACAATATAAGGATAATATAAAATGGTTATAACATATAATGACATATACTGTGGTTGTAAGCAAATATGAGGACATGTTTAACTGTTTATTAGGGTACAATATCAACATAACTGCTTCTATAAACACGTATTTTATATTGTTACAGCTGTGTTTTACTATCATACATCATCTGTTTACACACCAGCCTCCACTTATGGGTTATGATTGTTCACAAATAGAGTCAAACACTTATATTTGTTATCTACATTATGATCTGTTGTCAAACATGTATGCAGTGCTCATTCACTGCTATATAAATGCTATAAATAGATGGGGTAAAGTTAGTGTTACTAATGTACCAGACTGTAACAAAATGAAACGTGACTTGTAGCATTATATTTACAATGCATACTAAAGAAATCATCTCCATCTTACCTATGAGATCCAGCTCCACTACATTACACTCGACTTTAAGCTCTTTGAACAAGTCTTTCACCTACAAACAAACAAAATGATATATCAGTTTCCTCAGTCACATGGTACATCATTTTTCAAATACACAACACACCACTGAAACCCGAAACGCCCTTTTCTATTAGCAGATTCCCTTTAAACTGAATACTGAAACACTCCACGCCTGTCATTACAATTATTAGTCACCAAATACGCTATAGATTTGTTTTAATAAGATTATATAATCCTGTTAATTGTTAGCTAACACCCTCTGCCTTTAATCTATGTTGGCGAAAAACAGAATTTAGCTACAAGAAACCACATTAAAAAGTGTGAACTTCAAGGGAACAAGTGTTCATTAGTAAACCGGAAGTATGCCGAACTGACAATGAGCCTTAAGCGCGAGGTCTAATTAGGTGTTAAGTTAGCTATGAACTATAAATTATGCATCACGCGCTAACTTTACTAAGAAGTAACCACATTCAGATAAGAGGCTCTGGGGTGATATTATCTCCAGCAAACAGTGTGTAAACAGTAAGTATGCTAAAAATGTTTGACGCTAGTTGTTTTGTGTAGTTTGGCTCATGTTAAAAACGGCATTAAGCCTCCAGCGAAGCGAGGTCGGTGGCTGCATTATCGTAAAAAGGAAAAACCAGCAATTAGACCAAGCCCGTGTACTTCGCGGGAGAATATGGAAGTTTCCGGCCGGCGTAAGCAAGCTCTGCCCCCTCCATAAAATAAATACCTTACCTTGACACAATACGGACAGTAGCTTTTACTGAAAACCATCACTTGGTTTGTGTCAATAAGCTGCTGTATCCGAGATTTGAGTTCATTCTTCCCGGTGTCATTTTCGATGGGAGGCATTTTCAAGGTATTTCCGTCCGCCTGCGCAGGGCAAGCTTCGATAGACGGCCGACGAGAGAATGAGGAAAGACCCCAAATAAAACCGCACCAACTCTCTCTTAGTAAGCGTACGAATGTCTCTCGGCCTTTTCTCCAAGAGAAAATACTAGAAAGCAGCTGAACCGCCGGTTTGACCTGCTCTCCTCTCCCTCTGCTGTCTGCAGTCTGTCGACCAGCCGCGCCAAACGTCTTTTACCATTTCTTGTCCTACTACTTTGGGTGCGCTCGATCTAAGACACCTTGTTCACCGCATATCCCGTTGCTTGTCATTGTCAACATAACAACTCCGCCCAAGCGGTCAATGCCGTACTTCAAAACGTACCTACCTACACAGACGTCACAGGGTTGCCTATTTACATGCCGTAAAAGCACAAAAACTATTATACCACCGAATTATTCTCATTTTAATCAAAGTATTTAATCAGACACGTGTTTGCTTATAAAAATAAAGACTTCATACTAGTTGGGACGACGATATCAAAACAGGGGGCCTACAGGCGCCACTGGAAGACAGCTAATACTTAATTAAGAGGAAAAAGTCAAGTGAAGAAGAGCATGGCCTGTATTATAGATAGCATCTAAACTGAATTAAGTCGATACTTGATAACGTGGTTGCACTGAGCAGGTCAGAGTTCTGTTCCTACATTACGTTACGAGTGTATATAATACTCGGTTATCTAGCGCCATCTGCCGGTGAAAATAAGGTACGACGATTAACAGGTGTACTGTGTATACCCATGTGGGTATATATGTATATGCTTGCACTCAAAAGTTTTAGTTTAATACAGTACAGTAATAAAAAAAAAATAAGTACACGTGAGACAAAATAAATGTGTCACATGACCCTTGTCTGACATGAAGTTTACATCAGGTTAACATAGCTTTTTATTGTTGTTGTTTAAGCATTTAATTCTGTGTCATATAAACATAAAAACATTGAGTTCACATTTCACAACATTTTTTTTAATTTTATGGAACTATAAAAATATATTGTGGCAAGCTTAGGTTTTCCAATTGCTAAAATAAGGCAAAGAGATGACTTTTAAATCAGGAAGTTTCCCTTATTTCACCTCAACCCAACTTTATGTTCAACACTCTAATATACACTAAAAATGTATACAAACTCATGGTGCAAAATGTCTGTCACCACAACATTAACTATAACCCATTAGAACCATTGTGTAATGGGTAACATGAGTAAATTAGAACACATTTAGACAGTTTTCTTCTCCTAATGGCCTTAAACACAATGTCTCGCAGCATGCTGGGAAACTCCATCTGCCACAATATGTTAAGTGCACAATGATAATGTTGTTTATTGGCCTTAAACTGATTAGGCAAGATCAGCTCTGTCAACCCAAAATTAACTCAAAACTAACAAAAAGTTGAGTTAACACAAAACTGTGAAGCATACAAGGGACAGGTTTATTGTTGTAAGTAAACATAAAGTTTTTATGTCATTTTGACAGTCTGGGGCATTTAGGTAGACTGTAAACATTAAAAGTTTGCGTCATGGATGGATTGGGGTTTTACAGTGTACTACTCTGTCTCCTCCTCTTATCCCCAACAAGGTATTTATTTTTCATTAAAGGCTTTTCCTATGATCATTTCAATATTTTATTATTAATTAACATAAACCAAGTTTTCAGATGGAGCCAAAAGACTGTAGGTCTAATGTGATCCAGAGACACTGAATATATAACTAGCCTACCTGAGGATATGGACCACTTATCGGCCAAATGCACCCTATGTAATAGTGATGGGAAACAAAATATATTGTAAAGAATTACCAAAACTTCCCCTTCAAATCAAAAAGTCAGTGTACTGCAGCATGACATTCTCTTTTCACTGTTAACAACTCAATTCAAAATAGTTGTTTCAGTAGGCTAATGATTTAAGAAAAGGGGCTCTCTGGTGATTTAGTATTGCAGCTTCATGATGTCTGGGGACTCACAAGAGACAGGTCAATAAAAAGGAATGATCAAAATCAAAGCAGCCGAGGCAGAGATATCCTGACTTTTTGTCCACTCTGTAACACAGGATTCAAAGGTGCTGTATGTAAGAATGTGGCCAAATGTACTGGGGACACTGCAAATGCTGCTTGCCGTGCTGCTGTAGCTCAGTCGTAACTGTAACTGATTCTGAGACTCTACTGACTGCGCGACTGGTAGACGGCGGTGGGTGGTGCAACAGGCCAAAACACAAATTCAAAACATAAACATGATTTGCAGACTGCAAAAAAATTTTTTTAGATGCAAATATTCTGGCTGTACTATTGTTGTCGGTGAGATCAGTATGTTATATGAACATTATTCCTTAGTCTCTGTGACATATTAGGAGGATTTTATGACTATTTGCTTAAGATTTCTTACATATAGCTCCTTTAAATCTCAGGCCCAAAGCATTTTTTTTTTAACTTAAATTAACTCCTTTGGGAGAAAACATTTTAAGACTGGCTGAAAAGCACTCCTTGTGACAAACAAACTGACCATTGTGTGTAAAATCAGTTGAGTGCACCTTTAGAAAATCAAACAATCTCTGTGACATATTACACAGTATAACCTCTCGATTCTATTTGTTCGTTAGATAAGACTTTTTTAATGTAAATATTTCACAATTAACATTAATTGTTTTTTTCAGTTATATTTTCTGTAAATGTCATCTCCATAAGCATCTCCTCTTTAGCGACTCAGAAAAAGTTGGGGGGGCATTACACCAGTGTCCTCAATCAGATGGTTAATGATACTGACATCAGTAGAGATAGGCATCAATAGAGACAGGCATTCATGGACATGAACACAATGAGACAATGGCCCTCTGGGCACAGACAAGTAAAAAGGTCCTCCTCCCCTTCTGACAGAAACAAGACACGCAGACTACAGTCATTGGACATGACTTTTTGTAGTCATTTTGTGTCTCTTTATGTTTGTTTTATGTCTTTTTGTAATCATTTGGTGTCTCTTTCTGATTGTTTTATGTCTTTTTGTAATCATTTGGTGTCTATTTCTGATTGTTTTATGTCTTTTTGTCTCTTGGGCCCCTGACCTCCTGGGCTCATCGGCTTGTGCTCAGTAGGCCTGTTGAGTAATCCATCAGCCTACATTCTCGTGGTTCTCTGTGGGCCAAAGCCTTATTTATAAATACAGTCCTCTACACCAAAATCATGAGTGGCTTTTCTATTCACATTTACATTTTTTTTTGTCATTAGAATAAATTAATTGTATTAGGAGGCTGGGAATTTCAGAAAACAGGTGTAGGCTTTCCTGTAATATCTGAGGACACAATAATGAAATATTCAGTTAAATGGCATGTAGAGTGTCTTATTTCCTTAATGTGAAGTAGGCCTGTCACGGGGATGCCCCGTGACCTCTAATGGTAAAAGACAAACACACACAATGCTTGTCCACCTCCAGGCACTTTCACACACCATCTAGCCAGCAGGTGTCTGGGGTTGGTAATTAGCACAATTAAGGTTGAAACCCGGTAGTTGTAGGTGTGTAGTTGTTTTGGTGCTTCAGAGGCCGTTTACACGTCGCCGGCTATTTTCATAAACGGACATTTCACCATCTCCGTTTTCAAAAAGATCTTCGTTTACACTTACCCGTGTATATATACACAAGAGCATGCCAAACCTGTAGGTGGCAGTGTAACGAGAAGCTCAAGCCTTCCATGTATCAATTGTCACCATAGCAACATAGGTCGCACTTTTGACACAGGCGCAAGTTCCGGCGCATACTGTGACGTCGGCTGCCTATAACTCCGTTTATCTCCGTTTATCTCAGTTTACATGCAAACGCGCAACCGGAGTTTTCCAAAATCTCCACTCTGGCCGGAGTTTTTAGAAAGACTCGTTTTCAGAGGAGAAATCTCCGTTTGCGTGTAAACGAAGGGCACAAACGAAGGAAGATGTCTCCGTTTATCAAAATCACCGTGTACGTGTAAACGGCCTCTCAGTGTCACAGGCACATTTACATGAAGTCAGGAAGAAAAGTCTGATAATATTGTGGTTTTAAATCTCTTTATTTGACTAATTCTTTTGTGTGTCTCACCTCTCCTCTAGACTGCACTTGGCCAACCTCTGGTTTGGACTCAAGAACTGCCAAACCAGACCCTGCCCATTTGGATTCCTTTTATAGTCAAGTTCCTGGGGGAATGTGCCAAGTGTAGTATGGATGAGGGGGAGTTTTGGGGAGATATTTGTGCAAGTGTTGATTTTGAGCAGTTTAAGAACATTTTTACTCTTTTGGAGTGTGTAGCAATTTTTTTCACTGTTGGCTTATAAAAAGTAGTCTGAAGAGTATGAATTGATCACTGCTGATTGTTGATTGATTTATTAATTGTATTTCCCATGTGTAGGAGGAGCTACTGTCTCGAGTTTCTGAGATCTGTCTAGCAAGCCGGCCACAGCGGCTGTTACTGCCAGGGGCCCAAACTTAAAGGGGGCATAGCCCAGTGCAGAGTTGATTTTTGTTTTTCTTCAGTTTTGGCCAGCTGAACTGCACTGTACATATTGCTGCACCTAACCCACTGCTGGAAAAGAAAAAGGGAAATAAAAATATTGGACTGTTGAACAGTTTAAAGTCCTCTTCCTTTTGCCTTCACCACTCGACCAACCTTACAAGGCCACATTGGGTTGGAGCACATTTGTTTGTCATATTAGGCTTGTTATTATGAGAAGCATAAATGTCAACAGTGGCTGACTTGGAAAACAGTGCAACTCAGTTCACCAACATGATGAGGAAATTTGATATCAGAGTTGTAGAATTGGTGAATCAGAAACAGGAGAGACTCATATGACAAGGTGTTACGTTCCAACTTGTCTAGGAAGTTTCAGGAGTAACCGTAATAATTAAATAAACAATACATACCGGAGAGGAAAAAATGAAGCGCTGGTAGGATTTACGTAAGCCAAATGTTTTATTAACTGAACAAAAATGTAAACTCGAACACAAAACAATCCTCCAAAAACTGAGGATGATAAGTACTAACTATGAACTGAAAACAGTCCACTCAAAAGGAGGGACGACAATGCACAATCAATACAACTCAGAAAACACCAGATCTTAGACACTAAACGGTATATCACTACACACTGGTATTACACTAAAACACGTGGTGGTGAGACGGTTCCCAGGAGCACTAGCAGTCCACTGACAGCTGGTGGCCTTGGTCCACTCTCCTTTATCCTCCACCTGATTGGC